TGTGTGTGTGTGTGTGTGTGTGTGTGTGTGTGTGTGTGTGTGTGTGTGTGTGTGTGTTTAGTCACTTCTCTCCTTCCACTTTTAGATGAATTCCAGGGCAGGTCACTAACTAGGTTCACACAGCAAACACCTTTACCTCCTGAGCAGTCTGACCAGCCCTTTATTTCTTTTTTATGCCCCAGAGGGACATGGTGTCAGCTCAGTGTTACTAGCTTTTGACCAACCTCCTGGGGCATCAGGGGATGACCTGTCTGTTGAAGAAGAATGTTTGTGCTAAATGCCAGACTTGGGTCGCTTTCTGTGTCTCTGAGACCTCCTGCCCCATGCTCTGACAAGCCTGCATGGTTCACTCTGCAGGCTTTCTGGATCTTTTCTGTACAGCCTCCTAACTGGCAAGCATGACTTGAAGATATTTCTCAGCTTTGTACTGGTGACCACAAGTCCCCAGCTTGCCACTTCTACCTGGACAGGGAAAGCCATTGAAGATTATTGGGCGCAGGACAGAGACAGTGAGCAGGCTGCGTGTGTGTGTGTGTGTGTGTGTGTGTGTGTGTGTGTGTGTGTGTATCTCCACATGTAAGGACAGACATGCATATGTATTATTGAATGGTACTGATGGCTATGCAGCCATGTTGGGAAGGCAGGACATAGAGGCAGGGAAGCATTCATGAGTTACAGGACGCTGTACAGTGAAGGAAAAAGCCAGCTGTCGAAAGAATAGTCTACCAGCAGGAACAAGGAGGAGGAACTAAGACGAGCAAATTGATTGGCCTTTGTTCCATGCCCAGTACCCTATAAACCCGGAGCTGAAGACAGGATTAGAAGTGAGGGGTCATCTTTAGCCTCAGACCTGTTTGAGGCCAGCCTGGGCTACATTGAAGCTCAGTCTTAAATAAATAAATGTAATAAAAGAATCAGGTGAAACCACACTGCCGTTTAAGGATAGAGGAACCTAAGAAGAGTCCAGGCTTGCTGGTGGTGTGTTCTGGTCCCTCACCCACTCTGACCATTCTGTTAACAGTGGGAAGGGACCTAGGAAGTATAGTCTATTTCATGATGTTCAGAGCTTTCCCAGAATGCTATGGGACATGCCACCTGGGAGCCAAAGACAGAACTTGGTTCAGCTGTGATCGTCAGAAAACAAGCCTCAGGATGCCAGATGTGTAGTCGAGTCTCACATGGCAATTATAACTCCATCTACTCTGGAGCTGGGCTTCCTGTAGCCACTTTCTGATGTCCCTGAGGCCACCTATGTATGCCCTGTGCTCTCTTTAAGTTCAGGTCATCAGCCCCTCCAGAGTCCTGAGAGCCCACAGCCTCACAGTGGAGAGGATGTGAGCGGTAGGGAGACATTGGCTGGTATTTGACCAGGTACTTTTTTTTTTTTATCACCCACAGGCCAAGCTTCCTAATCTAAAGGAGGTTGACGTTCGCTACACAGAAGCCTGGTGAAGCCCCCTGTGTGCACGGGATGGCATCCCACAAAACAAAACAAAAAAGAAACAAAAAAACAAAAAGACTCTTGACTAATAGCCGTAGAGCAGTGGGTCCCGAGGTGGTCCCAGCACCTGGCTGCGGGATAGATGGGGGAGTCTTGGGGGGGATGGAGGGGGGAGGGGGAGGGAATCCTCAGCACGCCCAGCCCCCGCCTAATTCTTAGAGCTTCATATTGGAACCTTTGACCTTGATCAAAAGCGGCCTTAGTGGCAACAAGAGGAGGAACAGCGGGTAGGGAGGGCAGGGGAGGGGTGGGCGGGGATCCCCGTGTGGATTTTCTTTGCCTTTGTTATGTGATACTGTGTGTGAGGGCATTCATCCAGCCTGATGCTGTCGACTCCGGGCCAGAAGGAGGATGCTTTCTTCCTGGAGGTGCACCGAGCAGAGATCTCGCCCCTACCATTGGGACAGGAGTCACCCAGTCATGTCACCCCATCGTCCTGTGTCCCCTCCCCCCACCATCGCTATGCAAAGTGGTTCTTGTTGTACATAAGATTTAAATAACGCACCTATTTAAGAAACGTCGACAAATTGCGGGTCTGGGACTCGCTCTTATTTATGAAGTCTTTGACCGGCCCTCCCTTCTCACCTGCTCCCCCCCCCCCACTTGCCTGCCCTGCCTACCTCCCCCGGGGCGTGTAGTACTGTCTGGGCCAGTCAGCTGTTGGGTTTGTGCTTGTGGTTCTGGTTTTTTTTTTGTTTTGTTTTTTTTGTTTTTTTTTTTTAAAGGAAACAACAACAACAGGGGGATAAAAAGGCCTTTGGAAACTTAATTGCTTTTTTTTTCTTACCGGACTCTGTATGCTAATGCTCTCCTGGTCAGTCAGTCAGCCCACTGCTACTCTGTATTATTTCCAGATGTCTCCAGCTTCCTCACGGGTGGGAGGGAAGAGGAGAAAAGAGACACAGGTTCTCCGTATTGTAGCTCACACCGACCTTCCTCTGCTTCTGTGACTCTGGAAGGTTCCCTGACCTTCCCTCCCCCTGTATACCCCATAGGAGAGTTGGTCCTCCAAGGTCCTGCTGTTGTTCCTCACCCCCTTTTAAGCTGTCTCTGTCCCTTCTGAGACTTGCAACCTGTGGCCTCCCCACCCTGTGGTTCACTAACGCATGCCCCACGCCCACTTCTTTGCATGGTCTCCTGGGAGAGAAGAGCACCCAGCCAGCCCGCCCCCGACTGTCACACCTTCCCTCCACCAACGTGGTCACTTCGGCATCCCCTCACCCTTGTGCCCTGAGGCAGACCAACCTCATTTCTTTTTACAAACAGTTGGCTTTTTCTTACCAAGCCCTCACTGTACAGAACAGCCCTTTGACAATTCTTTTGGGGGTCCCCTTCCCATTCCCTGACTCCAGCCCCTTTTTATGTTGGTTTAGCACAATTCTCCACCCCCCTGGCACCACCAAACCAGACCCACCAGTTGATGTTAATTGTTTTTTATCTATTTAATCTTATTCGATGGAGACCATGCTTCAGTTGTTTTATACTTTGCCAGGTAGACTTTATTACCCACCCCACCCCCAACTATGCCCTCATTTTTTTAAAAAAGAAAAAAAAAACCACACACAAAAAAAGAAAAAAAAAAAAAACAAACACAGAGACTTTGGGTTCGAGTCTCGGTCTTAACTCCCTTTCCGTGGCAGGTTTTCTTCCGTGCGTGTGCCTGTGTGTGTGTGGAGTGAGTTCTGGTTTGTGTTTGTTTCTGTTTGATTTCTCTTGTTGCTTTCTCCCGACCCCAGCCCCAGTTCCGTACTTCACAGCACCCCGGTGCCGAGAGAAGCAGAAGCAGAAAAAAAAATAAAATAAAGTAAAAAAAAAAATTTAAAAATTTTAAAAAAAAGAAAAAAAAGGAAAAATTTAAAAAGAAAAAAAAAACGAAGAAGAACTAAGACATGCCACCCCCACCCCGCCCCCACTCCCACCCCTGCAATGTTGCTTTTCTTGATGGTTAATAATAAATACTGTCACGTAGCTGTGTACAAAGAGATGTGAAATACTTTCAGGCAAAAATAAACTGTAAGTGACTCATGAAAGTTGGCCTTGCTGTATGGTTGGGGGTGGCGGTGGAGGGGGAGTCGGGGGAGGTCCCATGCAGGGAGGGGGCCAGGACACACCTGAGGACTGGCTTCTCACTTTGGGTGCTTGACCATGCCACCTGAGCCTGTCACGCAGGGCTGCCCTATCGAACTCATTGTGAGATCTGAAAAAAACGAGGTCTTGGCCAGCACCTGCTAGCACCCTCGCCCGCTGTGACAGCCAGCCCTACCTCTAAACTTTCCGTCAGGTCATTGTCACTGCCCTCTGTGATATTGGAACCACCCACACCCCTGTTCAGAGGGTCATAGTGGGTCCTAGCCTAGCACCTGTTCATCCATTGCTGCCTCCCAGGTTTGTCTCCTAGAGATCCCCAAGCATGATGGTACACACCCGTAATCCCAGCTCTTAAAGCCGAAGTAGGAAGGTCTGGAGTTCAAGGCTATGTAGACCTGTGGCAGAGCTAGAGCAGGGTGGGAGAAGTCAGAAAGCTTGGTAGGTAACATGCTTGGTACATAAGCATCCTAAAGACCTGGAATTGGATTCCCTGGCATCCCACACAAAAGTCAGGCACTGTTGTGTACATACTCTTGTGATCCCTGTACTTGGGACAATGGAGACTGATGTGTGAGGCTCGCCAGCTGCCCGGCCTAGCTGAACAGGTAAGTTCACATTCTGAGACCTTGTTTCAAAACACTTAAGGTGGAGGATAAATGGGGACTTGATGTCCTCCAGTCCCCATATGCGTACACACAGACATGTCAGAAATAATTTCCATCCTTTTCCAAACTGTGGGCCTTCTGTGGATGCCCCTACTGTCCTGAGTTAACCTGATGTATCGTACGCCCCTGTCTTCCCTTCTCTCTGCCCTCCTAGACTACCTGATGCTCTATGTGACAGGCCTAGTCAGGCCCAAGGCCTAACTCGAAGACCAGAGTATCCTGGTGCGCTCTCTCTCTCTCTCTCTCTCTCTCACACACACACACACACACACACACACACATCCTCTCCAGGTGGCCTCTTGTCCTATGAGTAGAAAGGCCAGGGACTAGCCATCCAGCCGAGACCACACCATGTATGTGCTGTGGGGAAGGAAAAGCTTGAGTTTCTTCCATGGAGCAGGACAGGCCTCGACAAGGGGACACAAGCAAAAGGAGCGTTCTCAAGAGCTGGGTCACCTCCACATCACAGTAGCCCACACCATGGGCATCCTGGAGCATGCCTGTGTGTGGCGTTTCACATGATGCTTTCTAGGCCTAGGCCAGGTGGGAGAACGGGTGGATAGCAGAATCATAAACCGCTCAGCTAAGAGAGCGGAATCATGTTGGGACCGGGAGCAGGTGAGAGGGAGTGCCCCTTCCCGGGCAGTCTAAGAAATGCCACCCAAGAGCTGTGTTGTCACCTGTCCTGGTGGTGCCTGGCCACACTGGAAGGTCTGAGCCAGCTAGCCATTTCTCAGCACTGAATGGGAGGGAGAGCGAAGAAAACTTTGCCTCAGCAGGTGGAAGCTCAGAGCGGACAAGCTGTCTGCAGTCTTGGCTGCTAAAACTAAACAAATAGGCACACTGTGGCCAGCAGCTCTGTCCCCGGGTGGCTCTAGAACTGAGCTCCCAGGTCCAACATGCAAACAAGGTTATATAGTGCGTGACTTAACGGCAAGGCATGTCCACCAGTGGTAAACCCCGTGGGACAGATACACGATGGGACCCGCCAAATGTCTGGCTAACTCGGACACACACACACACACACAATAGAGTATTCACATGCAGTTCTACCGAGCAAGAAAACCATCCAATACAGTGACGTAAATAACTGGGGAGAGATCACGCCAAGTGAAGGGAGCCAGGCACACCGGAACAGCTGAGTGGCTCACTGCTAGAGAGTTCTTGAGCAGGTACAAGCCCTCTGTAATGGCAGAGAGCTCCACGGTGTTATATTGGAGGGGGTTATTACACACACTGAAGAGACAAGAGACCTGAAGACTTTACAGTTGGGTCTGTGTCATACCGATAGCTAGACACTCAAGAAGCTGTCCACTGCAAATTCTGTCGTATATCACATCACATAACAACTTTTTAATTAGCATCAGAATGAAGCAGCCAGATGTCTATAGACCAGAGCTAGAGGTGTAAGTCAATAGTAAAGACTTGCCTAGGGTGTAGGAGACTCATAGAGATGACGGGATATTTGGTCAAAAGGGAAAGAAGGGAGCTGGCAAGGTGGCTCAACAGGGAAAGGTGCTTGCTGCAACGCCTAAAGATCTGAGTTCTATCCCTGGTACCCCATGGTAGATAGAACCAGCTCCCCACAAGTTGTCCTCTGACCTCTGCCCATGTACCTTGGCATATGAACACACATACAAATAATAAAGTAATTGTTTAAAAAAAAAAGAAATACTGAAATATCCTATAACATAAATATATCTCAAAAACCTGATGCTGAAAGGGAAAAGATCAGACACCAAAGCCCAGGTATGATTTCATGTATAAGAAAATTGTCCAGAATCAGCAAGTACAGAGGACTGGAAAGCTACCTGATGTTTGTCAGGGTTTCAGTGAATGGATTGTCTGCTGATGGGTGCAGGGGTTCCTCTTGGGGACAGCAGGATCTTAGCGTTACAGAAAAGTTTCATGGCATGGTGCCAGCGTATTCATGGGAGAAATCTGGCGCCCCCTTCTGGCCCCCCAGGGCATTGCACTCACTTGCACATACACACATCCATACTCATAATTAAAAATAAATTGTAATGTTTATTGCTGTCACAGGTGTTTACAGCTCAATTTAAAAAAAAAAACAAAGCACCACCAACAAATTGTGCATCAAGCATGTTGGCTTATACCTGCAACTTCAACTGAGTCAGAACGGCCTTGAGCTCAGGACTAGCCTGGCAACCCTCCTGACATCCTTCCTTCAGAGTGTTGAGGTTATTGGCATCTTCCCCAACCCTAAATACAAAACAGTGCAGCAGACGGAGGGGAGAGGTTGAGGGGCAGTAATTTGAGGATTCTTTTTCCTATGTCTTTTGGTGACGTTGTTTGAGACAGAGTCTTACAGGATAGTCCTGGGTGGCCTGGAAATCACTGTGCAGACTAGGCCTTAAATCTGCAGCAATCCTCCTGCCTCAGTCTCTTGGGTACTGAGATTACAGGTGTGCACCACCTTGTCCTAACAGGAATTTTAAAGGGACAGGGCACATGCTCTTTCTCAGCACTCTCATGACACCTATGGGAAGCCAGGCAGTCCTTTCAAAGTGGCCTTTGACTTGGTGGGTCTTTTGACTCTCTACTGCCACCTGCTGGAAAATGATAATAAGATTAGAATCTACGCTGTAAAAAGGCTGACTCCCTTTGCAATGTACAACCTGCCTGGATGTTCATGGTGGGGTATGGGGCTTTGGTTTACTTCTCAGAAAATTCTAGCTGTATTTGGATACCATCCCAAAACTGATGCTGGCTTTCTTCTCTGATCCTACTCTAGTTCGGGTGATACTAGCTGAGAGGAGGTTGGCCTCTACAGCCTTGCTGTGGTCCACTGTACTATGGTGCTGGTAGTTAGAACCACAGACTCTGAAGGTTCTGGGTGCTTATCGAGGCTCCCAGATGACTCCTGATGTATCATTTCCCAGGCAGATGCTGCTCTTGAGGCTGGCTGCACACTGGAGTCTCCTGCGGGGTTGTGAACTCACTAAAGACCAGGCTCCCTCAGAGAATGAGGCTGCTGCTCCGGGATGGGGCCTGGTAATGTAAGGTCTAAAAGCTTCTCAGAGGGTTCTACTGTACAGCCAGGTTTCAGACCACGGCTTTAAAAGCCTGGCTGCTAGGGTGCAGAGCTTAGGACCGACAGCGCTGGGGTCTTGGAGGACACCTTTGTGATACAGTGTCTTGGACTCGTCCTATATGCCTGTCATAATCTATTTGAATGAAGTCCTTGGGTGACTTCTGCTTGGCCTCCTTGGAGAAACCTCATCTGGGAGGTGCTACACCCGTTGTGGAGTCAGTTATGACATCAGCAGGGTTTCCTATTTGGAAGTCAAGAATTTGAGACCTGAATGATATTGTGGTGAACCTGGGTTTGGGTGAAAACACCGGCCAGTCAGTTGCCCAGGACACTGAAGCCGCATGACCAGACAAATGACCTGTTAACAGAGACATGCTTTCTGTATAAGGGCCCACATAGTATCAAGATGGCGAGGAGAGAATGGAAGGGACACCTCCCAGTGACAGACACCCTGAGCTGTGTGGGCTTTTTGTTTGTCTATTTGTCTGTTTTGAGACAGGGTCTCTCTACCCAGCCCTGGCTGTCCTGAAATTCACTCTGTAGACCAGGCTGGCCTCAAACTCTCAGAAATCGGCCTGCTCTTCTGCCTCCCAGGTGCTGGGATTAAAAGAGTGCACCGCCACTCCCCGACTGCCCTTGGCTGTTTTATGCTCTCAGTGTAAAGATAAAAAGACTGGCCCAGCTCCACACAGCAGGCCAGCCTCCCCTCTTTTGGATGGAGGAGAAGCACTGAGCATCCAGAAGGAAGCGGGGATGCCCTGGGGACTAGAATGCCCTCAAGGTGGTCACTGCCTTCTATACACACCCCGGATGCTACTAGGTGGGGTGTGAGGTCATGGACCCTGTCATTACAGCACCCTGAGAGCACCAGCATGCATGGATGGGTTCGGTTTCCCCTGGGCCAGATCTGTGAGTATAAGGAGAATAGAGACACGTGTCACGTTACATGGAAACAGAAGAGCAGGGTATGGTGTCTTGGCACCAAGGAAGTTGAGGCTTGCCCTAAGCCCAAAGCTAGATAGGGCTACATAGCAAGACTCTCAGGGGCACTGTTTCCAGTACTTACGTTTTTGGGAAGCAAAAAAGGAAACAGGTGGAATTGACTTGGGATCATTTTTGAGACAATGGTCTCTTATGTAGCCCAGGGTGACCTTGAACTCAAGATGCTCCTGCCTCAGCTTTCCATGCTGATGTGGACTGCAGTCTTGGTTAGGGTTTTATT